CTAGTAGATGGATGGCCTCTCCATAAACACCAAGGCCAGAGAGTGAGCCATGGGTTTTTTTTTTTTTGTTGTTGTTGTTGTTTTTGTGTGTGTGTGTGTGTGTGTGTGTGTGTGTGTGTGTGCGTGCACGCGCACATGTTTGTCAGAAGGTACTAATATTCATACTTGATGGCCTTAGAAGAAATGTAATTCCCCCAGTCTTCTCAGTAGGTCCTAAGACTTGTGGATTTTGCCTCTTTGATGAAGAAAGTAGTTAGTACTAGGGGTTCCTTAGGACAGATTCCTATTTCTAGTCAGACCTTTCACTTTTCATAATAGCGCATGACCAAGGCAGTAAACTAATCGCTATGATCTCATAGTTTCTACCATGAGAATGGGGGGAGATCAGGTAATTCTTCCTAATTTTGTTGTGAGGCAAACAAAAGTGAGCCATTACATTCTCTGCCATCAGTAACTCCCCTTCAGGCCACTAAAAATCCCCATTGTCTCGACCTTGGGACATCGAATATGTGCCCTGATAGAACTACCCACAGGAAAGGATCTCCCACATCCTGCACCCAGGCTACTGTCACATTAAAAACATCTTCACTGTTCAAGGAAGAAAGCAGGCATGATTTTCCATCATTGCTGAAAAAATGAAAGGCCACAGCTGTTTATCTACTGAGCGGTTACATCTAGCACAAGTACAAGATGTTAGACACCCGGACTATGGTTGATGAGGGCCCAGAGAGCATGAGTGCCACTACCGACAATAGGGTTACCTAACATGGCGACCGTGATAAGCACTGGAGGAAGTTTAGCATTCATCAACTGACATCCCAATCATACTAGTAGCTTTTCCAGTACAGATGGTCAGGATTGGTTAGTTCTGTGAATGGGGCGCTCAACACGTTACTTGAACCTTTCCATGGGGAACCCTGCTGTTGTAACTAGTGCACAGATTATAATCTGGAAAAATCCATGTGTGGGAAAGCACTGGCTTCCTACTTCTGTATTAAGAGAATCATCTAAACAGGCTTAGATAAGGGCACAGACCCCAAAAAGAATCACCTGTTGTCTTCCACACGTGACATGAAAGGTACTAGGAATTCCTGGTGTATGAAACTCCTGAGTGTGATCTCTAAGCATCCTGGCATCTCCTTTAGAAAAAGATGACTGTGTAGTTGACCCTCCCCACCTCTCAAGTAAAAGTAACAAGAGCAAGTGGTGGGATTGTACAGCTATTGCTGCAACCCCATTCCAGCCAGAGAGCTCAGAGAGTACCCGTCTCCCTACTTGCCATAAAGACCCCGCAACTCTGAGTAGGTCACAAACAACATGGTACCGTGGACCCTTCAGTTGACCATGCTGGTTGGCCCCTGCCTGGACCCCTGGGACTTGCATTTGCCCTTTTAGTGACATGTGAACCATCCATCTACTGACTGGAGCTTGTGGCAGGAAATTTGCCTTGGGGTAAGCCAGAGCTGCTGGAGTCGGCTGAAAACATTCATTGTTCATGAAACAGTGATTTGCCTGTTACTATTCTTGGTACTCATGGATCTTAGACTTGTTAAAAGAAATTGTAGTCAAACGCTGACTATGCTTTTGATTTTGAGTTAGGTTGACAGTGCTCAAATTTCATGTTTACAACATAGATTTTTCTATAAGGTATGCAATCACATATACATTTATGAATTAAACAAAAATTCTAATGAGTTTAATTTAAAATAATATAAGATAGTTGTAGTCATTATACTTACTAGTAAGTATTTCCCCTCCCAATGATCTTTGCTTCTTTAGCTGGATTTGGGAGCTTGACTGTACATTTTGATCTTCCAGTCTCATATTTCTATCTGCTACTTCACTGCTCACTATATTAGGAGAGAAATTTTAACACTTTTTAGAAAAAAAAACCAGATGTGCAAAGCATCCAGATTTCAAGTTGATATAAGCATGGTAATATTTTGTCATTTCATAAACTTAGAAAGACCATGATGCCAACGAAGACTTGCTGAAACTGCTAACCAGCTGTAATGTACATTAAAGTTTCATTGTTTTGTATTTCTAGTCATGTGATGTTTTATATCAGCCTCTGATTTCCTGAGATTATTTGTACGTTAGAGTAAGATCCAGTCATAGACCAACTGATAAAAACACACATTTTCCAGGTATTTTTTCCCCACTGATAAGTATTTCAGACCACCAGTGTTTTCTAGCACAGGAGACTGGTTGAGGGACTGATATGCTTAGTAGGTATCTAATGGAGAGTATATATGTCTATAGATATACATGAGATACACGGTAGATAAAATGGAATGGAGGACTGTTTGCTTCTGAACCATTCTCACTCGGAGTCAAAGAAGCTCCCGAGAGTCTCCTCGTGGATGTGCCCCTGACTAATAAAACTGCAGTTTCTTCTCCTCCGGGTGAATTCTAAAACAAATCCATGAACTACGTCAAGTTTTACCCAAGCTCTTGACTTAAGCCTAATAAACAACAAATAAAAAGAAGACTACCCGATGGCCAGTGTTCTTCTGACCTGTTGCGGGGGCGGGGGGATGGTGACCCCGGATCAGAGCTGAAGTTTGAAGCACAAGGGGAAGACCTTCACTCACATCTTGTGGATGGTGATTTGCAGGTGACTGTCACTCCCTGAGCCACTGACATGTGAATGAGGGAGAAACGTGATAGTATCTGGGTGTTGCTGAGTGGGTCTCTGCAAGCCCTGCACTGTCCACTGCCACAGTAGGCAGTACGTAATGGGTCCTTGTCAGACATGAAGGGGCTGGAGTACCCTGACTGCTCTCACCCTGATACCCCACCCCCCACCCCCACCCCCAAGAACAGCTGCAGTTAGGATTATGTCAGTGAGCCTGGTGGGCACTTTCACAGCTCAGAAACAGTATCACCTGTCTCCGGGATAAGAAATGCCTGCTCTCATTGCTGGTTTAAGAAAGTCGTGTTTACCAGCTGCTCTCGGGAGCTCGGTAACAATTGCTTGCTGGTGACTTGACTTTGTCCTGTGGCCGCTGGCCCCGGCATTGCCTGACACTGTGCTATCAACAGCGGCTGCCACTCAAGTTGAGGGTGGCAGGTATGAAGTGAGTGACCTGGCGAGCACCCGTGTCAGCATTCCTGCACACACAGGTGACCAGGGTCAGTTTGTCTTACGTGGAAAGAGTTACATCTTCCCAGGAGAAGCGGTATTTCTGAGAAACAGCTGATGCCCATGGTCCTGACCACATCCATCTCTGGGACTAGACAAAAGCAATGCCAGGGAGAACTACAGCCTTGTTTTAACACAGCTGGACCAATAATGCAGGCCAGAGACGGAGACCTAACACTCACGTGAAACTTGGGGGTAAAACTAGGAATCAAAAGGTCATTTCATAGCAAAGAAGACCGCTGCCACATGGTATAAGCTTGCCATTCTAGCAAATGACAGCCACCGGGACTATCTGGTTTCTGGGGCACTTGCATCTGACTGACAGACAGGAAGCTCTGGAGGTCTTCTGTCCTAGTTAGGGTTACTATTACTATGATGAAACACCATGAACAAAAGCAAGTTGGGGAGGAAAGGGTTTATGTGGCTTACACTTCCACATTATAGTCCATTTCTGAATGAAGTCAGGACAGGAACTCAAACAGAGCAGGACCCTAGAGTCAGGAGCTGATGCAGAGGCATAGAGGAGTGCTGCTGACTGGCTTGCTCCCCATGGTTTGCTCAACCTGCTTTCTTCTAGAACCCAGGGTCACCAGCCGAGGGATGGCACCACCCACAATGGACTTGGCCTTCCCCCATCAATCATTAATTAGGAAAACACCTTACAGCCTGATCTTATAGACATATTTTCTCAGTTGAGGTTCCCTCCTTTCAGATAACTCTAGCTTATCTTAAACTGATATGAAAATAGCTATCACACCCTCCAATAGGCAACTCAGGCATCCCTTCTCCCGAGCCTCTGATGGACTTTTCTATCTCAGCAGACTCTTTGACAGTTGGAATCTATGGAAAGGATCATGGAGCAGCATCCACTGGGTTTGGGATCCACAGTCTCCTGTAATTTCAGAAAACGAACACCTGGGAGCAACTGCTGACCAGTGACTGGGTCTTGGTGAATACTGATCCCATAAGGCCTCCAGGAGGGGGCCTTAAGACCAGAAATGTCAAAGAAATCCAAAACACTTTGGTTCTCTAGCCATCTTGATGATTTACACTTCAGGTCGATATACAACATTTCTGTAAATTATATGTTCATGTGTGTATTTATGAACTAAAGAAGAGGACTGGATGAGATCCATGTTTTAAATTTGAAGTTCACTATAACTTTTATACTTACTAACGTCCGTTTTGGAAAATTTTAGCTTCTTTGCCTGGCTTTCAGATTTTAACACTGCGTCTTGAGGTTTAAAACTTTTGTCTGGAATCGTTAGGAACTACATGAAGAAATGCGTTTTACCTCTTACTAGAAAACAGATCCATTTTTAGTTCTCTTTGTTTCAAAGTTATAATAACTATGTAGCAGAATTTTCTCTCATTTTGATATTGATAGGTAAATTACCACAGGATCCAATGTAACAAGAAAACAGTGAGACTATATTTAGTGGTTGTGTGTTGAAGCTCCATTTTACACTCCTAGGTATCTAGTCTCTGTTCTTCTTTAACATCCTTGAGTTATCTATAATTTAGGCTAAAATGTATTCATAAAAACAGAAATGAAAATGCACATGTTCAATGTCCAGAAAAAAAAATCTGGCACGGAGAAGACTTGCATACTCTCTTTGTGTTTAGGAAGAAGAATAATTAGAAAATGGAAAGAGAGCAATGGTTATTTATTTACATTTGTGGTATTGGGGTTAAATCTGGAGACTTGTGTCTGTGAGACAAGTACTGAACAACTGAGCTACAATCCCCACCCTTCTTTTTGCTTTTTACTTTGAGACAAGGCCTGAGTAGTTGCCCAGGGTGACCTTGAATGGTCTTCCTGCTCCTGCTTCCTACGTGATAGGCATCCAGACCAGCATCAGCTGCCGAGCTGAAATAGCCATCTTTTTAAAACCAGCCCAGGACAGAGAGGAGGAATGACGGGGATGGTTACCTACAAAATCAGAGGTCAAAGTAGGGGAAAAAAATGAAACTCCTTAAAGTATATTTTTCTATGGATTTTCACTTTGGGGAAAAGTTCAGGTTCTACATATTTGGGAGACAAAATTCAATCAATAAGTATATGGGGTAGAATGAAAACAGAAAACAATGAAATTAAGTTATTAAAGGAAAAACAAAAGCAATAACTCAAAGATATAATATTGAACATAAACCCACACTATGAACTGGGGTTGGAAGTTAAGAATTAGTCTTAAAGTCCTTTAGGCTATATTGTTGTTCCAGAAGCATGTGCTGGGCAATTCCAAACTGTTTGATTATGGGGGTGGGGCTTCTTGGGGTTCTGGCTGCCTTGGCCTTAGAAGCTATAAAATCAAAAGTTTTAGTCTGTTTTTTTGGTTTTAGTCTGTTGGGGCTGAGACACTCACCATGTACCCATGCCCCTCTGCTGTCTTCTGCACTAATGTGTCTGTCCCTTGTCAAGAGCTATTTTAGGGGGCAAAAGGGAATCTCAGCAATGTCTTTTAATAATGCATTAAGTCATGGCTAATTGTTACCTTGAGATTGGTTTGCTGTTTTAAAAGACCAACTGGCACCTGTCTCCGTCCAAATTTTTGAGCATAGAGTAGCCATCCTGAGCCACAGTGTGTGGTTCCCATGCTTCTCCCATGCCCTCTTGCTCTGTTCCATGGGTACATTAAGACAGCCCTGTGTATCGGGGTATAACTCTTCTGAGCTACCTGCCATGACCACAGGTCACAAGCAAGTCACCTGTGCCTGCTACTTCGTGGCCTTCACTAGGCACAAAGATTTCCTAGAGGGAACAGCTCCTGGCTAGCTGCCCAAGCACTTGTGTGAAACATCATGTGATTTTTCAACTCCTACAAGAACTTGCTGGACATGGGTTCAAAAGCTCTACCTTTGCCTGAGGTCTGGCCTGCACTGGCTGACTTACCTACATCCCTTCACTCCTGGGTCTTGTGCCACAGTATTCTGTGTGGTTCTATATGTTCCATGTGGTTCTGTATGTTCTATGACAGCCATACCTCCAGATCAGAAGAAATAAATAGTAGATGACACCCCAAGAAAAAGTAGTGGTAGATGCACAAAGCCTTTCTAGAAGAAACAGTGTTTGGACAGTGGTGATTGTAGGATACTCTCAGAAGGGAGGGTACTTCAACTGAAAGACAGGGTCCCACCATCCCACTCTGTTAGCTACACTGTTGGCCTCAATATGTGCTGGCAGGCCCCACAGGGCATTCTTGATGGCTATGTATCCCATTTTCAAGAGTTTCACCTTTGACTGGAACCATAGCCCTTTTCAACTTCGACCAAGATGTCCATGTACCACACAAGAGCTCCAACCCCCGGACGCTAAGAAAGGGGTGGCATGGGGTCAGTTTTGCTTACAGCTTCTGGTCCTAAGGTGATGAGGGCTTAGCACATTGGGCTTCACCGGGGGTAGTCACTAGCTGTGAGCATGCCTTTGGTCCAGTAAGTTTCTAAGACTTGTGCTTTTGAGAGAAAGTCCTGAGGATCATGTTGCCTAGCCAGTCAAAGACTCTGGGACCTGGACAACTTGCTTCCACAATAAGGGAGAGAACTTGTCTTATCTTAGTAGGGGAGTGGCACTATACAACCTTCCTCAGAGCCTTGGCAGCTACACTGCCCAAGGAGGGGAGAAACATCTGAGACTCGTTACTTCCTCCTTGGGTACCGTTTTAGTTTTACATGATGGCCTATGTACTGGGAAAAAAAATATAGGTCCATCCTTTGCAGAGACACTGTGTGCTTCTCCCAGGTTGTAATAGAGAGAGGACAAAAATGTCAAGATCTGTACTCAGAATCAGATTTCTAGTTTTATTCCTGCCACCTTCACTGGTTACTCAGGTAAACTAACTTCCTTGATTATTGTTATTGTGCATGCATACATACATATGGAAGTCAGATGACAAGTTCGTGACATTTCCATTTACACGGGATCTGCGATCCAACCTAGATCCTCAGACTTGTGTAGCAACTGCCTTTACTCACTGAAGCATCTCGCCAGTGCTTAGGTGGCTAAAACAAACCCCTCTGCACAACCATGTCAATTGATGTACAGTAGTATAAAGGTCTTAGCGGGCACAGAATGGAAAAGCAGTTGCCATCCAAACAGCACTGTTTGATTGGAGGGCACAGGGACCTAACAGTGCTAAGTGGACACCATTCCTGAATGATCTAGGTAAGCGTTTCAAAAAGAATCTCTGGCCCTGGTTGCTTGACAAAGTGGTCTGGAAATACTTCCACTTCAAGCCCCCACTTACATTCAGCCTCAGGCCCTCAAGCAGTGGTTCTCAACCTTCCTGATGCTGCAACCCTTTAATATAGATCCTCATGTTGTGGTGAACCCCCCACCCCCGCCCCACCATAAAATTATTTTTGTTGCTACTTCATAACTGTAATTTTGCTATTGTTATGAATCTTAATGTGATTTTTTTTGGAGATAGAGGTTTGCCAAGGGGTCGTGACCCACAGGTTGAGAACCACTGCTCTAGAGGCCCCTGCCAGAAAAAAGGTCCAGTTGCGGATGGGATTATTCAGATATCTACATTCATTTCCTTCATATGGGCATGTTTCTTGAGACCCACCTGTGAGGTTACCAGAGAGGCTTCTTCATTTCAGGGGCCATGAACAAGAGGGTGCCTGGATGTCCTAAGCAAGGCTTCCTAAGTGACACCTTCGGCTCTTCGGCTCCCCATTTGTATTTAACTTGCTCATCTCTATAGTGTCTGTATTTGTGACTACAGCCTATGACAGAAAGCCAACACTCCCCAGGTCAGAGACACCACCACCTCTAGGAACTCTCTCTGTGTGTGTGTGTGTGTGTGTGTGTGTGTGTGTGTGTGTGTGTGTGTGTGTGTGTGTGGCAAGGTAGCTACGGCGTGAGATGATGCTCTCATGTTCTGCTTCTGAGGCTACTAGGGAAGAACAACGTTGGTCAAATTCTACTTTGGGCATATCCTTTTGGGCTAGCATGAAACTCCAATGAAACACACCAGAACTCTGAAAAGGACACTACTTTGGGAATTTATGGGACTCAAGCAACTGGGACTCCACGGGTAGCATATTTTGTGGCCATTAAATAATCTTAGAGCCAGAACTTCTACTTGAGAGGATGGGGAAGGAAAACTCAAGCTGAAGACCAGCCTGAGCTACATGGTTCTAATATTAATTCTTTCTTAAGTTAGGGAATTAGCACTTTAGTTGAGGGGAAAGTTTTCAATGCATGCTTCTATGCATATTCATGAAGCAAAGAGAAAGAGCAAGCAGAGAGCCTAATGGAGAAGAAAGCTACCGGCAATATTTGTACTCACTAATGGGTCTTTCTCTCTTGTGAAGTCTCTGTTTCTTTGTTTGTGTGTCTGATTTTGTTGATGAGGCTTGACTCCCTGGACTGATAGATCCTTCAGCATCTGCATCAGGAGCTGCATAGAACAGGTACATTTAGTTCACTGCATGAAAAAAGAATGTTTGAAACTGTGTGGTGGCATGTGCCTAGAATCCCAGTATTTGGGAGGTGGACACTGGGGGATTCAAGATAATCTTTGGCTACATAGACACTTGAATACAAGCCTGGGATAGATGAGACTTTGTCTCCAAAAACACTTAAGTTTGAAATCCCCAAGTTCAAATTTCTGACAAGTTTGCTGCAGCACCGTCTCTTGTATTCATTATTTTTTTTTTTAAATAAAGAATGCAAGTCTCTCCAGTTCAGTCACCAGTGATTCGCAGAGATATAGAAACCTGAATAGTTTCTTCTGCCATAGAAAAGGAGTCTTGTTAACTCAGTATGTGACAGTGGTTGCTTCTGCTAGGAGACTGTGATAGCCCAATGGCAGGCCTAAGGGAGGGTGCAAGCTAACAAGGAATCCATGCTCTGCTGACTCTTATACAATGTGACTGGTTCATTAATACAGATCAGTTGCATGGACCAAATATTTAAATGAAATTCTTTGAGAAAGTTGGAAGGAGCATGGAGTCTCATTCAGGCATCACTAGCTGCCAAACTTTGGTCTATCTTGGTCCCAACAAATACAAAAGATGTGGTGTCATTTGTGGGTCTCTTCTGCTGGGAGCCTTCTCATTCCCATCAATGGGATGCCAGAAATAATTCATGAATTTACCAAGCAATCTCAACTTCTGAGTGAGTCTGAACCCATAGATTGCCTTGGAGGCCATCTGAGAGGACTCCATGGCCATTGGCCACTATCCTCATCAACCCCTCTGCACTACACTTAACTTACAATTCCAGCAACAATTCTACTCAACAGTGGAAGCATATGGAATAATTTCATTGCACAGGTTAGGGGAATGAACTGGCTTTTAGACCTCTGACTTCCTGGAGTGGGTGAAAAGGAGCACACATTGCTAGACAGCATGTGATCATGCCTTTGAAACGACTACATCTAGAACCACTAAATAAAAGCAATGGATGTTTTGGCTTTTGTTGGTCAGTTACTGCATGGCCAAATGGAACAGTCCCACAATACATATAGTAAAATACACATTCTTGAACCAAAAGACAAGATTTTTGGATGTGCTTAAGATAATTTTAGGATGTAGTGGCACTATGGTGCACATATGTAATTCCAGCATCCTAGAAGCTGAGGCAGGAGGACCAGGCTCAACTGGTCCCATTCTAAAAAGAATACACAAAAGAATTTGTCGTTTTTATGCTCACGAGCAAGTCCTTTTCTTTTGGCAGTGTCCCGTTTCTTTGCTGAAGCTTTGGCTTTTGGTGTTTCTTCTGACTCTTCCGCATGAGCTATATACAGAGAGAAACACTTAGTGCACTAAACAGAAAAATAGATCTATGTTAAAGCCTTCACTTCATATTTCAAACAAATTCACAGTGGTCTTCTCTGCTGGTTTTACAGACTTATAAATAAATGACATTTGCGTTAGTTCTGACAAGACAGTGGTGGAGAGTTTTGGTGAATATCTGCTAAACTTTGTAATTTGATGGGCATAAT